TAGAGGGGCACAATAAAAGTGGGTTAAAAAGACAAAGACAGTATATAAAGTAATTTTGTAAAATAAACATAAAATACAGTAATTGGTATTTGTTTTTGTAAAGGTATTTGTTTTGGTAAATTTAAGTTACAGTCCTTTGTTTCAGTAGTTTTTTCATTTAGAGTATTTGTTTTAGTAACTTTAACCTGTTAAGCACTAAGCCTATTTTTCAGGTCTCAGGCTCGAAAATGACATTCCCAGAACAAATGACCATATCTTCCCTTCTAAAAGGGTTAAATTAATAACCTTTTTTCTCAAAGTAATGATAAGCCTGTGAGTTGGATGTAGAAAAGTCAGAATCAATATAGATGTTTTTTATTTTAAAGAAAATTCAGATTGAACATACAGTGTTTCCCCTAGGATGGAGTCATAGCAGCGGTGCTAAGGCACGTGGGCCCAGCATAATGTGAGCACGGAGCGCGTGGAATTTTTTAGTGTGTGCGCGTGCGAAATGCGCCCCGCCAATTTGTTTCTATGTACAAGAAAGGCTCTTGAGGCCTAGTACCAGGGCTTCTAGACAATTTGCTGCCCTAGGTGAGATTTTAGGCGAGATTTTATGTGTAAAGAATAAATGAAAAATCTNNNTACAAAAGACAAATACACTGCAAAAACAGAAACTTATTGACATTGGTAATAGACGTCAAAATGGCTTCAAATGTATTCGGTATTGTATGAACATGTATGAATTGGGGGGTGGACGTCACATCCTCTAGGGGGGTCCGGGGGTATGCCCGTAAAATGCTTCAATCTGGTGCACTTTGAGCACACAATTACTAGAGACCTGATCTAGGGGGTACAACTCTAAAACGCCCATATGAAAAAGATCGGTTTACATTTTAATAATCAAATAAGTATGTGAACATAACCAATAACCTACCATAGCCAATAACAAATAAATGTAGCTTATTTTATTTTTGTTGTTCATTTATATCTTATTTTAGCTAGTTAACATTGATTTATTTATGCATATTTTTGTATCTCTCCAACTTTAAACGATATTTTTGGTTAACTGTCCTATAGTATACATTGGAATGATTTCAAACCTGTTTTTATTTATCCTAATAATTATAAAAGAGTGCCTTTGAAATATGTGTTTACATAATTTGTGGTCAAAACGTTTGAGACCCACTGAGATAACTTAGACTAAAATTAACTATCTAAATACTCAGAGAGTCCTTNAGAGATATCCAAAATCCCTTCTCTAAAAGCCTTAGATACTAATATGACTACAAAATGAAACAATCATTTTGAACCTGGCTTTATCCAAAGTTCAGATTTTGGTTCCTGAAATGTGTTAAAATATGCGCCTATTTAATGAGATAATGGCTCATTTGCATATTTAAACATGCTATTTCAGAAAACTTGTAATACAAAAAACAATTGCCTTATTGTAAGTAATTAACTGACATTTCTAGCTGATATCTTTAAGTTAAAAAAATTACCCTATTCGCCTTAAGTGAACATTTAATTAAAAAACATAAACAGTATTTACTTTTATAAGGTAATGAACAGTTTAATCTCCACTGTAAAGCCGGGTCTCTGCCCCCCCTAGAACCGCCCCTGCTTCTCCCATCTTTGTCAAATTCTTTTTTTTTCTCATTCTGTTTTTTAGGCTATTTGTTGTGAAAACACAACGCGGTCTTTAATGGTATGATGTGTCCCGCTCTATGGTCCCGCTACGAGGTACGTGCGTGATGTGTCTTAACAGTTCGTATTTAGGCTACTGTAGGCTCGAGTAGGCTCGAGCGCAAAGTAAATGGCATTTTTCCCTTTTAAAGTCATATTGTACTCATACTGTATTCTAATTTATCCTGGTTACATTATCAAACTCTTCTTACCCTGGATCTTCGCACTGGATGTCAGTAGTTGACGTGCACGGACTCGATCTAAACCCGGGTCGACATGAAGCACAGCGTCGACAAAATGCGCTGCTTCCATCATTAAAAGTGTTTTCTTTGCACAGCGTGTTGCCGACTTCGTGTATTGATCCGTCGTCATCTTTTCCACAGTTAGGTGTGACTTGGTATCCTTGGTCGTAAACATAGCAAAAATAATAGCTTACAGGATGATAGAATATAAATATAAACATTATACAAAAGAATACATACCTGGTTCTATAGGACACGACACGCATGTTCGTGTAGGACTATCCCAGTAGGTTGTATAATTGCATTTAACAGAGTGCAACAAACGGCGAGTAGACATAACGCCTCTTCGTCCAACACACAAGTCTGAATGCAGATTTAGGGTTTTGCTCTAGACAAAGACCCACCCACCCCAGAGTGTTGGCAGAACTTTGAAGTAAGTGCAGCAACTCGTAGGTGGTAGAGGTCCCGTTATTGTTCTATTACTCAGTTTGTGTTTACAGACAGAGAGATCAAAATGACGTTTCCAGCAATCCCGAATGTAACATTATACAGTATACAAATAGGCTATGTATACAAATATGTATAAAATATGTATATCCTATACACAATCAACAGACACATTTACACATATGCACATATTAAGATAAAAAACCACAACAATAAATAAATAACAGTCACTTCAATATCAATATCTTTGGTGCAAGATTGTCTATCAAATGTGCATTTATTGCAAATTGTCCATAGCAGTGTAGATAACAAGTGTCTTGTGCTGGATTTGAGTGTCTGTGTGGGAGTTATAGTCCAGTGGGGGCAGGGGAGAGAGGGGGGAGACAGTGTTCTCAGCTTGGTCATGGAGACTGTAATGTTAAGATATAAACCATTACTCATTGACTGGTGTAACTGTAACATTCTGCATCTTTGTCCCTCTCTTTGACCATCTCTTCTTAAATTCCCTTTACTGTCATTTTCCCCTAGCTATAAGCCATGACTGTCACAAACTGAAGGTGTGAGGTTTGAAAGATGTGGCCATTTATCAAGCCTCGGAAATGTTACAAAGTATCATATTTGGATGTTTAGCTGGACCCCCACTAGGGACTACTTATCACAATATCTCAGTGTCTGCTGCTTTAATTTTTTACCAGTATTTTATGTTTTAGTTTCTCGTAATTTCATGAAAGTACAACACTACATTTCTGAGGTACCCTTGTAATTACAGAAAGGCTGGAAATGTTCAAATGGTTTTGGTTGTTCCAGCTATTCTCGGTTAAAGTAAATAAAGGTTCTTTTTTCCCCATTTTAAATAAAAACTTCAATGAACCGTGTGTAGACGCTGTAATAGATTTACAATGCCTGTCATTTGGTTTATTTATGAAATAAGAAAAGTTTAGTGCCCTGTGCAACAGTAGCTGAAACAACAAAACGTCCTCTCTTCCCATTTTCTGAGAACCCTCTTTATGAGTCTGTTACTATGTTGGTTAATATCGGGGAAAGAGTAGTTTGTTGCTGAAAATGTAAGGCGATCAAAAGAAGACATAGACATAAGAATTGTCACCGAATGATGAATAAAATGATTCAGAAGCGGAATTCCTCGTTGAGTAATAGTCTTAAATATAAGAGGATATGGACTTGCAAAAAAGTGTTGCATTAATCTCAAAACAGTGACTTTGAATGATGATTTATGTGCTGACTTATGTACAATATGTTCCTAAACTAACATGCTACTTTCAAAAACTTTTAGTCATTGGAAAATATTCATCACATTTTTGGGGAAGTGTCTGAAGAACACACACTGCTGAATGCATGTCATGGTCGAGTTTAACCTTTCAAATGGTTCGTCCCTGAAGGCCACAAAAGCCTAATTTGAACCTACTACACTTTGATGTGAAACTGACCTTTTAAAGTCAGTGTATTCATACTGAAACTTGTAGTCAGCTCCCTTATTTAGTAAAACACAAGCTTAACGTGGAGTATGTCCAAACATTGAATTTACTGTCTGGTAATGCTTTTGGATAACCTTTGTATTCTTTCCTGTAAACCAAAACATAGATGGCGTTAACTGCAGCTGGATGATATCGCTTAGCTCCAAATATGCTATTTCTTTCTACAAAGAGCTGTAGAAATATTACTCATGGTTTGTATTTAAACCATATGTTTGTAAAGCTATATTTAAAAAATACCATCAGAGTTGTATTGTTTGTAACAATTAGGAGTTATTTTGGGTTAAAGCAATGTGTTTAAATAACTATAAACAAGCTTGTATTTATTTTAAGGAGCTAAGTTCTCCTCCTGCCGGCCAGGGTGTAATATATCCTGTGTGACTTAAATCAATGCAATAACCTTGGCACTCATTCTCTGCTGCTCTTGTTTCTTGCTTTTGAATTTCTCTTATGCATCCTGATGCAATACGAGACCTCAACATTGGGAACAAAGGGTCCCCTGGATTTATTGGAAGCATAGGAGCCAGCCATGGGGCCTCCAAGGGCCTCCAAGGATGGGACATGGAAGATGAAGGCCAGAATCTATGGGTGACGAAATCGCCACCCATACACACTTTGATATAATAAAGAGATATAATTCACTTGGAAATCGGCATGATAAATGTAAGGCAGTGATTTGGGATTTTGTCAAACACTTAATTTGATCTTGATTGTATCACAAATATGTATGGGTTAACTCGATGAAACCATGTTTTTATGTTTTATATGTTTTGTATACAATCTGGAAAAGACCGATGCAAATATTATAGGCTAAATGAAGAAAATGAAGCAACTGAGAAGGAGAAACCTGGCATTACACAATTTTAACTAACTCAGATTCAAAACTGTGTGCGGCTGGAGAAAGTCACCTCAATGGCTTTTTTGTTATTTCAAGTTAGACTCATCTCTTCTACTTACGGAAACCATTGTAAGGGATTTTCCAGATCTTCCTCAGCCTGTTCCAAAATAAACCAACATCAGACTTCCTTTAGAAGCCAGAGAGCAAATCAACTCCGAAATCAGCTCCCCTGAGAGAGCAAATCTTACACCAAAGGGATTTACTAGATCTTGCTTCATTTCAGTTCAAATCTTGTCCATTATCTTGACACTCAGTTGGACCTAAAGTCAGTCAGCACAATATTGACTTTAACTGTCCTCTCTAGGAACTGAGCACTCAGCATCAACAAATTAAGATAATCATGAACTTGGAGGGTATCGTTGAGGCCACAGGTGAGTAATCAATAATAATAGAAGTCAAAGCCAGGTAAAGCGGATATCATCAGATTATTAATTACATATGAACTTTAAGGGTCCCCCAACAGATGTTTCTGTTCACCCCAGTGGTTTATAGCAACATACCATTTTTGGTTTCATTTGACTTATTTTTGCTTCCTTTCCACTACTTGTATATGTGGTATTTGTATTGCCTTTCACACATCATTCAAATGAATTACTGTACATACCAGCCATTTATATAGGCACTTTTCCTTTTTGTTTATTCTAAAACTGTAACCTTAGAGTTCTGCTGAAGAAGCATTTTTATTAAACATTTAAAAACCAAAAAGGAGAATTTTGTGGTTTGGCTGGATGCAGACGTCTCGAAAAAGATGTGGGTGAACACAGCAAGTGGAAAAGGCAAAGGTTTCAGATTAACTGTCATTACTAAAAATTGGTTTACACTCAATAATTTGCCAACTGTTCCATATGATGCTCATTTACGATTTCACACATGCATTTTTAAAAATAATCTTCTTTCAGTAAAGTCAGTATTCCCGAGAACAGTGTTAAAGTCATTGCATTTCTCCCGTGCTCTGAGAAACCAAGTGAAAAATGAGTTTGTATTTGAAAAACAGGAAATGATATCTCGCTCACTTTGGCAGAATTCCCTTTATCCTGTTTTGTTACTGACTGTTCTGAGCAGTGCATGGGTTAGGCTGACCCATATAACGTTTTAGAGGGGGTGCTGTGTAGGACTGCACAATAGTCTGGCACACACTGTCCCATTAAAAGAGGATGTTTTTGTTTTAACTCCTTGTTTTTTATGCTGATTAAACAAACAAGATGTTGTCACAGTTTCTTCCCTCTGTTCCTCTTCTTTAGCCACATTCTCTATTCCCTATCCCTTGCTTTTTTATAATGATTCTGTCTTGAACAAGGACCATGCATACAAATACATTTTTCCCATGCAGGAAGAGAAAAGATGATCCAGACCAAATTAGAGCTAATATATAATTTCCAGCTGCAGTCCTTGTGAAGGGAACACAAGTATCCCTCAGCCAACACTAAAGCATAGTATCTCAATCGCATAAACAATTATAAAAGTACAGATCATAGTATCTAGTACCATACAAATATATTATTACAATCTATTTGAACTAGAAACTACAGTCAAATTAATCTTGGCAAGACTGGTTACTCAATATAAATGTCTTGCACAATGGTAAAAAGAGTGTCTGTGCACATTTTGGGCTCAGAGGGAAGCATATTCCAATGCTTGATGGCCGCAAATAAATAAAGACTGGGAAGGCAGTTTGTCAGAGTAGGAGGTTTGGTTCAAGGTTCAAGGCTTATATTAGTCATGCGTACATAGCTACAGTGTAGTTATGACAATGAACATCTTAGGTCACAGCCAGACTCCTCCAACAGTGCAACACAATAAAACAGAACAAAAACAGAAAAAATAGTGCACGTAAATACAAAAAGGTGAAATAGTGGAATAGTGCAATAAGAGTCTTTAACAAGTGATTGAATATGATATATTAGATAAATAATTTCTAAATTGCAGCCAGATTAAGTTCAGGTGTTTAACAGTTTTATGGCCTGGGGGATGAAACTGTCCCTGAGTCTGGTGGCTTTAGTCCTGATGCTGCGGTACCGCCTGCCAGACGGCAGCAGACAGAACAGTTTGTGACTGGGGTGATGGGGGTATTTTTGTAATCCTGAGGGCTGTCTCGTCGCCGTTGGTGATCTGGCCGATGACGGTCGTGTTGTAAGCAACCTTCACAATGGTGTTGGAGTTGTATGTGGCCACGCAGTCGTGTGTGAACAGGGAGTAGGGGAGAGGGCTGAGCACGCAGCCTTGAGGGGCTCCGGTGTTGAGGATCAGGGTGGAGGATGTGATGTTTCCAACCCGCACTGCCTGGGGTCTGCCCTTCAGGAAGTTCAGGATCCAGTCATAAGTTTGAGTCCAGTTTGAGTCTGCGTTTGGCGCGGATAATATGTTGCATTGATGGAAATGTATAAATCTTATCAAAAACTTTCATCTTTATAAAGAACCTTTATTGGTTTCAGCCCTGTCTTACTGTTCTGGGACCAGTAGGTTATGCAATACTGAAGATGTGAGAGAATCCTCGCTTGAAAATATTTTTGAATGCATCCATTGT